AGCATTAATTTAGGTCGGATATAAAATTTGAAAACTAACAGCGGGTTCGAGCGTGTATTATTCATAAGATTCGTTTTAGTTTTGCGGTTTCGTTAATGTACTGCTATACAGCGTGTCTTTACCATCGCGACAATAAATGAACACACATATAGAGGATAACTTTTTAAAATGCTCTTTTTCTTTGGATTAAACGAGTTATTAAATTTTACAGCACTTTTAGAACACCTTAAATAACTGTAACGTAAAGTTCATTTGAAAGGTCACAAAGCTATTTCGAATGAATTTAAAACAGGTGCCCGCTGTGGCCGAATCTCTGAAGTATGAATCAGTACAATGTAGGATGTTACAAATTTTGTTTCTTTTTTACTTATAGTTTGAAAAATATTTTTTTAAATTATGATTTATTAAACGTTAATATTTTTTTACCGTGTGTTTCATTTATTGTCGCGATGGTAACGACACGCTGTATCCTTGCTCCTGCTCTGCTCTTTGGTTTGGACACCAGCACTATCCAATTAAAGGTTTCTGAAATTCACCAAGGCTATTTCGAAACGGTGCCCTCCTCCAGAGAAGTACTAGGGCCTCATAGAAGACCATAACCGTGCGGATCGTCTACTAGTTTGCCGCTTCAGTACATAGTATAAACAAATGCATCCGCTGTCTGTCTATCCCTATGTATGCTTAGATCTTTAAATTGCGTAGCAACGGATCTTGATGCGGTTTTTTACTAGATAGTGTGATTCGAGAGGAAGATTTATATGTATATACACTGCACCCGTGCGAAGCCGGGGTCGGTCGCTAGTTAAAACATATAAAAAGATCGGTCCAGTGGCAATTAGCCGCGGGCGGGGTCCTAAATTGAGTGAATTGGCGGCTCGACACACAGCTGCGACTCTAATTTGACTCTACTCCATTTAATGAACCTTTAATTCACGGAGCCGCGCGCAGTCGGGGCGATGGTCCTTCGTGCTGAATAACAAGTTACAATCGCGGCCCGGTAAGCCGGGGAAATCAAGTTCAGGCAACAGTGGTTTCTTATTTTTATATTTCACATTTCCCCTACTGAGTGACACGAAAATTAAATGGCCATAAAGAGAAACGTTACGTTTTATAGGATGTATAAAGAAGAAAATTCGTACGCATTCGACCTTCCTCAAAATAACGCAAATGTTTAAATGGTGAAAAATTTACATGTTAAAATCTGAAGCGAAAGTATGCGATTTGGCACATTTTGAAGACGAGGTGGAGGGGACGACCAGAAAGATAAAAATTGTATACAAAACACAAAACACAAATACACTATGATGTTTAAACACAAATACACAAAACACAAATACACTATGATGTTTAATAATATTATCGATGACGCATGTCCATGTTGCACGAAGTTTAAAAAATGTTCCCCTTTACATTATATGACATTAAGTGAATATGACAGATGATATAGACCTTATGATACGGAAAGAGTCTATAGAATTGCCATCTATATATCTCTATATCGAACGGATATTTCCGAGACCGAAATAAAAAGGGATCCAAAATACATTGTTTTTCTATTGTATATTTTTTAATTGTTATGCGTTTAGCATTGACCTGACATCCAATCAGTGTTGCCACCTGACTGACTATTAATCGTCTTAAAACTATTTACTGTTTGTGACATTAGGGTTACTTTTAGTCTCGAATTCACTACATTGTGTGCGGTATTGCGTATCGCTGTTTCACTTCATAATGTGTATAACTTGAGACGCGCTAAAACAGTGTTCATTGACGGCCCATCTCGGCTCCATAACGGCGTATGCGGCCGCTTAGTTACACACGATTTTGAACCTTATTCTGGTGATTTAAAAAGCAATTGTCGTTCGCGCTGGACTATTTCGATTCCGCCTGAATGGACGGATTGTCGATGCCCTCAGAGGTTGCTTGTGAGTTCGTTAGTTCGTTTCAAAGCGCGGCCCGCTGCGAGAACTTTTACAAATGGATGCATCAAGCCCTGCACTGTTCGCTAATTGCGTGAAGTGCTACAGCCAGTATCGGACATGGAATAGTGTTGGACCTTTAGCTACGTATAGACTTCGATTTTTAATCGATAACCACCTTACAGAGTCATAAATAAGTATCAATGTATGTAGGTGCCAATAAAGTTGTGCAATATAGGATATAAGGTATTAAAGTCGTGTACTATTATATTTATGTATATAATTTTACTGTAAATGTTTATGTCACTGAACTCCTCTTAAATGGCTGGACCGAATTGTATTTAATTTTTTTTTTGCATGTTAAGGTGGATTCGAGAATAGTTTAGATTAACAAAGTTATTCAAAAAAGTTTGAATTTTCGAATTTAAGAAGTCTGGCCATCTGTCCGTTCCACTAGTATGTTTTTAAACTTTGAAACATATTATTTTCTTTAGACTGACATGCTTTGAAGGAGGGGCCAAAGCATCATATACAGCAAGCAAAGCCAAGCATATAGTGAGTACTTGAAATATGCTGTAGAATTATTTAATCAAAAACGTCTCAAAGGATACCAACCAGCTGCGACCTTCAGTTGTTCAGAAGGTTAGCTGTTAGACAGCTGGTCACCATCTGTTCCTAAAAATATTTAAACAAAATATTCCATAATACAGACATATATTTAATCCTTAAAGTGTAACACAATGACCATTCAACAAATTATGAGTTGTTATCGGTTCGGTAGATATGTATTCTTTTAAAATTTGATTCTCATATTTTTTTTATGTGGAAATTTTAAGCCAAAATTAGCAGTGTGGTAAGTGAATACCGCTACCCATGGACATCTGCTACACCCGATCTGTAACAGATGCGTTGACAACCTTTTGAAAACTAGGCTCCGGCTACCTAACCAGACGAAACGCGAAAGTATTTGTCATACTTCCACTTCACGCTGGTCTTCTGTGAGGTCGTGGTACTTACCCGGACGGGCCTGCCCATTCGTGCAACAACCGAGGCTGCTGCGTGGCTCTACCACCAGAAAAGAATTTCCAAATGACGTATGGTTATGTATCAAATTTTAAGCAAAATTAAGTGTTTTCCCTGTATATGTATATGTTATGAGGTACTGAAATAAAAAAAAATAAGATATCCCGTTGTAAAGAAAATTATATGGCATTAATCATAAATATAATTTTATAACACTTGTTATATTGATGAATGACATCGTTTTTATTTGAGACATTTGCTTATTCTTTAATTTTAAGACGCGGAATTGTTTTACTATACTGTGAACTATTTTAAGCACGCCACGTTCACCGGCATCCAAACGTAAATATGAAATAACTAGCCGCTGCCCGCGACTACGTCTGTGTAGAATAGGCTGAAGGCGTTCATTCAGACAGAAAGACATATAAATAACATATGTATATTAATTATAGCCTATGTCATATTCTGGTGTATAAGCTGTATTATTGTAAAGTTTCATTAAAATCCATTCAGTAGTTTTTGCTTGAAAGAGTAACAAACATCCATCCATACATACAAACTTTCGCCTTTATAATATTAGTAAGGATTAGTAAGGATATGGAATAATTTTTAGTTTCTTCATTGTAAATGGTATAAAAATTACTTTCTTGTGGTGAAATTATTTAAAAAAAAAATTAAACATGGTTTTTATATGAAATTAAGGTTCGGTTTTATTTCAAGCGTATTCGTTTGACCAACAGTTCACCTTTTAAATGCCATTTTCTTGTACCAACAATTCATGCAGCGCAATTCATTTGTTGTTTACTCTATTTATTGCTTCAATTTAATTGTATACAACAGGCAAGAAACTGGCACCGTGTAAATGGGCCTTTACTTTAGTAATACTTATCGTGATTCGCAATCAGTAAAGATAATAATTAATTACGGACACATTACTACATTTAATAATTACCCTACACTATTATTGACACAAGAACAAAACTGTTTATTTTTAACCTATAACTTTTCAACCTCGGCTTAGGAGATTTCGCTTCTTAAGTAAAACAAAATGTATACAATCCTTTTAAGGAGATGCAATACTTACATCCTCATTAATCATAAATGTATATGATTTTTAAGGAATAGGTACATCATCATTGGTACACAGTGCTGAATGAGGAAATTGTTTCAGGGATAATATGGCGTTTTCCTTGAACAGACGACACACCAAAGGTTAGAATAAAATAGTGCTGTGCACGTTTATTCTCGCACTTAAATTATAATTATTGAGAGGGATATAACGTAAATTACATCATCACCCCCCATCTTTCTTTTCCATTCAACTTTGATATCGTTTGGAAACAATTCCACAGAACAGACAATTTTTGGTCTTTGACCTCGAATTATGGTACGGGGAAACAAGCGACCCGGGCGTTAGGAACACGCGCGTGTAGCAGATCGTGTTATATACGCTCCTGGCGCCCGATCCGTTTCATTTATCTAATGCACATTGCATTTGCTTTTAGTTTTTAGTGCGGTTACGCCACGCGCCCGCGCATCGCCACAGAAATAACGTCGAATATCGGTCACAGACTCCGGTTGAGAATGAGCGCGTCCAATTAATTGCCCGGCACAGCACTATCGCGGTGGACGCGGCGCGAGCGGACGCTTCCGTCTCCCGCGCTCTTTTTCTCTCCAAATCGGGAGGGAAAACCGCGCGAACAAACGTCAAAGTCAAAGTGACATTTGCTTGTTTTTTTTTTTTGTTTTTAATCATCGGTGGCTTTCGGTTCATAATAACGGCCTACGTGAACGCTTGTGAATTTAATTGGAAATTTAAAAAAATATCGCAGCGTATCTCCGGGGTCAGGGATGGGGCCTGCGCGCTGGGGCGCCGAGTGCGATGATAAGCAATCGCGGGCGGGTGCAAATGTCTCCGATATCGGTGTGCGATTGGGATGAGGTCGTTCGGCGGCGCCGTTCGCAAACTATCTAGAGTGCGGCGCGCAATGGACGCGCCGTACGGGCGTTCGCGGAATCCCGCGCGTTGAATCACACACCGGTTATCGGCGCGGCGGCATGGCCTGCGAGGTCGCGAGTTGGATTCCGAGCGCGGTGGCGGCGACACTGCGCGCCGATCGCTCCGCGCTGCCGGTCATCGACTGGCTGGGCGCGATCCGCGACTCCACCGAGGAGTACGACCCCTTGGTGACCGTGCGCCCGCCCTCCCCGGAGTCCGACTCTGGCGAATCGGAGTGCGCCTTCGACGAGATCCTCTCCCACCTAGGGAAGGAGATATACAAGCTGGACGAGTACCAGAGGAACCTCGTGCCGGCGGAGGAGGTGTCGTTGAGCATCCTCAACATCTTCGACGAGTGCTTACAGGATATGGACACAGGCCGCGACATGGGTGACAGTGAAGTGCGCAGTGACTGTGAAACTGTTGACCGGGCTGAGACCCCAATTGAGGAATCAGTGTGCAGTGCGCCCGTACCGATGCCGAGGGCGGTAATCGAACCCGCGCCCGACGCCTCGGACAGCGACTCTGAAAGCACGTGCTGGAGCTACAAGGACTGCGGGCCGGTGCCGACGTGCGGGCAGCGGTACGCGCCGCTGTGGTACCACTCGAGCGGGTTCCACAACTCGGACGAGATCCTGCGGCGAGTGCTGACGCAGCACCACGCGGCGGTGTGCCGGCTAGAGTACGACACCGTCGGCGAGTTCGCTAGCGAGCGCCACGGCGTCTACTCAGCGGACAGGTGCGGCTCAGCCGGCTCAGTCGACGGTATGACGCCGGACGCGGCGGACGACGGCTACGAGCCGGTGCGCGCGACCGACGAGAACATCTACGAGGAGATTGAGTACGGCTGCTACACCGACGAGGGGTGCTCTTGCGGCGGCAGCGCCCTCGAGAGCTGCTCCGTCAGCGCGTCCTCCGAGGGCGTCGGCCGCGAGAGCCCCCTCTACGCGAACCTGAGGGACCACGACGCCTACGCGGTGCCCCCCGACGTGATCTACTGGAAGAACCTCCTAGCGGACCCGTTCTACAACGAGGATGAAGAAGACGAGGTGAGTGTACGATGCGGAAAGGTTTCAGCGCAAAAGCGGAAGTAGATAAGAACAACGTGACAATATATAGCTTGAAAACGTTCGAAAATGACGTCCATTTCGACACAACGCTGACAAATACATACAAACACTTATCCCGTAGCAAATAACACGAATAAATAAACTCTAATAAATAACTCATAGCTGCCGTGCATATTTCACGAGTAAATTTATTATCTATGTTTACATACCGTAGCAAGCTAATGGTCACATTTATAATGCGCGTCGCAAACATTTCGTCGAGTTGGCGAGCGATTTATAAATCACTTGAGTATCGGACACTTCGTTATGTAAACAATGTGTTAATCAGCGAAGTGGAGTCGTTATGTCATTTTATTATTTATCTATTCTCTGCAGTCTCGTCACAGAATTAGCTCTACAATGCACAGATTGTTTACAAGCGTTCAAGTGGCCGCGATGGCGACGGCCGCCGTTCGCGCGCTTTTGGGACGCCATTGGGTCGAGTGGCATATTAATTGCGCGGGCTCGTTTTGGGGCGAACTCCTTACGGACACGCGGTGATGTCAAATTGTGCAGGATTTCCTGTTAAGCACTCGCGAAACGTTGCCGCCGACAATGTATTGGCCGTAGGCTCCTTACCCGTTCGGATGTTTTTGTACCGACCGTATGTTAATGTATTTTATATTATTAAATCATATATATACATGTTATTGAAATCGGCGGATGTGCCAGAAGTTATTCTTTAAATAGACGTGTTTATATTTTAATTTTTAGTACTCCGAAGTAATTCCTAAACTTATATTTTTTTGTTCAATATTATGCACCTTTCAATGAAAGTCAAAGTAAAAATTAAATTAAATAAATAAGCCTATATTGAATATAGGCTTATTTTAAGCTCTTATTGAACGTCAAAAACTATCACCTGTTCACTAAATTAGACCTGACAGAGAAGAACCGGCAAGAAACTCTGCGGTCTCATCTTCTTTTTAAAACTGACTTTCCATTTAGGCAAAAACGCATGGTCGAATATAACTTTAAATGTGGCATAATCGCAAGCCATTAGAAATTTGCATATCTAACACAAAAGAATTCCTACTGCGGGTGTACGGTACAATATATTGTTATTTGACGAACATTCTATTTTAACACGAGAAGTTTACATAATCGACATCTCTGTGCTTCAACGCTCTATTTGCACAATAAAAAGCTATAAGAAATAAACGCCAAGGAAATATCGTAATTTAAATTATAAAAACACATTAAACGAATACTTTGAAGTAATTTGAAGAACAATTACCCTATTTTATTTTTAATCTGTGCAATCATGACAGCCATTGACATGTTTTGATAGTTACAGACCTAAATGTTTGTAAGATTTCCCTTGATTTGAACTATTAAGAAGAATTATTAGTAACATGTAATTTTATTTTTTAATTTTTGTATTGATGACATTAAATTAAGCTGATATTGTGGCATGCTTTTAAAAAATTAAAGTTGCAATCTGATTTATCAAATTGCATTAAATTCTTAGTTGCTCTGCAAGTTCGGAAACTAAGTTAATGATTTAATTTATGTGACTATTTTTTTTTAACTCCCGACATGAACTGCAGGCAGCCGAATGATCTTAAATTATAGATAAAAATGAGAAACAAAGTAGCTATACGCAAAATAGATACGCACAATTGCAGGAAGGAAGTAGTAAGCAAAGTACGCACGCAGACTGGAAAGGACGTCCGGTAAGATTTGAAATCCGGACAACGATCAAAAACAAATCTCTCAATAAATCCAATCTCACTCTCGGCGTTATAATTGTACAATACTTTGCACATAAGTAACTTTGCACACAAGTAAATATTTAATAATTTATGTCTATTACAACACTGGCAACTTTATAGTAGACGGAAAACAGACACGATCGCTCTGACAATTCTTAAATAATTGTAAATTTCTATATTGCAATAAATTCTTATGTTAGTGTTCCACAACGTTTTATTTGGACCCTAACAATAATGATTTTTTATTTATAATATTATATTATAATGAATACTCTGGCTCAAAGAGATCAATTAGTGCGTTTCCGAGTATATAGTAAAATAGATTTTAAAACCCAATTGTTTTGGATAAAGGTTTAGTTCTGTTCTACCTGCCCGCTGCCTCCGTTCACACTAATCCAATAATGCCGCTTAGAAATTCACGAGAAAGCCGTAGAAAGATTTTCGCATTGTACCTAATCTCTTTCACAGAGTAATTATTTCGGCGGGACGAGTAAGTCTTTTGTTTAGTTTCCGCTTAGCCCATGGGCGTGTGATCTATTTGGGAAGGATCACACCTACTATGATGCTATACTATGCTTCTATATCTCCACATCATACACCAGCTAGACCTAGACTCATTTCGAAAGGATGCTTGAACTTTGTTTTCAATCGTAACTTTATATTTTATTTCTGACCGTCTAAGTTATTATAAAGCGTATGGTCAGGTCACCATCGCGTTAAGGTTTAGTAAAATCTTTTGAATTAGATTAAAATTTCTTCACTTAGAAGAAAACTTTTTCGAATGATATTAAATTATTATACAAATTAACATCAAAAATATCGCAACATCATAACATCTTTAATGAGACTTTATCGCCTAAATTATATCTCCAAGATTTTTACACAATATCAGATTACGTCTCATTGAAGTTCCGATCAACAGCTCAACAAACATCGACGGAGAAAGTCAAATTTCTAAATCACCTTATTGCCGAGATCACATATTTATGCCACACAATCGACCTGACCTCTGACAGTTGTCTATAGAGCTGTCAACTCTGCCTAGGATCTGTCAAGCTTGTGGAAACTAAGCCTTTCTTCAAGCTTTGCGTCCTATGAAGTTTTATATAGTCTACGGACTGAAATAACAGACACCAATAAAAAAAGTAGATAATCAAATTCTAAATCGTTTTCTTTTCTCCATTTGTTCGAATTTCGAACGCCTTCCATGAATAAAATTAAAGTATTGGATGAATAAGACATAAAAGCTGTTCCATATTTCAATCTTCCGCCACGATACAAATTCAAATTTAAAAACCTTACACAGTTAAAAAGAATAGGTAGAATACTAGATAAACTAACAGATATTACGTTCCGAATCGGCCAACGCAATCATTTGAAATTCGAGCACCTTCCACAGATAATTAAAGATAACGCGGGACGAGCAAGGCATGAAAGTTTTATTGCGTACGTATACAGTAGAAAAATAATAAATAAACGGAACACGGGCCAGGTTTTAATGGAAACTCACTCCGGCGCAGTTGGTGCAGTCGTAAAAACCTTTTTATGTGTAAACGCGTTCGTTTATCGATGCGTTATCTCTATAGACGTTGTTTCGATGATGGGGTTCGTATCTCAGCTGCAAAACACTGTAGTTTTATAGGGTTCCGTACTCAAAGGGTAAAACGGACCATATTACTAAGATTCCGCTGTCTGGCTATATCTCATGAACCGTGGTAGTTACAGTTGAAATTTTCACAGATGATGTATTTGTGTCGCTGTTATAAACAAAAAATACCTAAAAAACAGAATAAAATAATAATTAAGTAGGGCTCCCATACAACAGACACGATTTTTTTGCCGTTTTTACAGATACGTTTTAAAAAATCATTCGTAGCAATGAAAGAACTTAGCCGTTGATGCGTTATTTCCGCAACAAACGATGAGCGGGAAATATTTTTTGGTTCAGAAGACTGTTTAAGGTATTACTAGGTATACACATTAGAAAATTCATAGTTATTCTGTTGTTGCATTGGAAAATGAATGTTTCCCAAATTTATTATTAGTACATATACAGATTATTGCAGTTTTAAGTCTTTATTTGCCTAGTTGAAATAAGGTTTTAATGTTGAATACTTAGGATTCGAATAAATCCCTTTAACGAATGTTATCTCTGATTTTTTACCAATGTTTCGAATACAGTACAGTATTCATGATCACAAGACCGAATTTATTGTTTTTATTTGTCGTTCTAAAGCCCTAGTTAAATCGGATTACCGTCAACTTTTTGTTTATTTTTTGCCGAATGCAGAATGGGCCTATACCAACACTTCAATACCACTTGATATTGTAAATTAACATAAAATAATCAAGTCTGCCTCATAACAGCTAATTCTGTAAAGTGTTCGGAACGTCGGAAATTTAAAACCAAGTATGTAGTTTAATCTGCAAAACAGTTTTATTACAATGTCAATTATTCGCGTAAATCCAAGAAATCATTATGAACAATTTAAACTTTAACAGGAATTTGTTAATGAATTAACAAGTTAAACCAATCTACTGGTGATGCTAAAAGTAATGATTGAAAGTTTCAAGAATTCAATTAAAATGATGCCATAATCTCATCAGTGAACTATTGGTTTTAGAATGCTGTAGACGAATCTACATTTTGAAACTATTTTTATTCCATTGTAATCATCACCATTTGTTCAGTATATGCTCAGATATAGGTTAATTGATAATATACTTAAATTTATAAAGCTTTCAAGCTAAAGTAGTGGTGTGATATGAAATTCAAGTGTTGCCATTAATTTAATAGCACTGAACAAATCGAACTCGTATCTTTCGCTTCGTTTTGTACTTGCAGAAATTGCAAGCCTAAGTAAGTACTATATGCGGTCGTTATAGTACAATAACTCCGATAAAATTGCATGTCTGAGATATTCAAAGACACAGTTGTCGGGGAGATGGCCATACTATCGTGTTAACCTGTAATAATGTTTGTAATTATTGTAGTGAAGTATCAGCTTATATATGTCCCACTGCTGGGCAAACGCCTCCTCTGTACAGAGGGTATCAGGGCATAGTCCACCACGTGGCCCCAATGCGGATTGGCGGACTTTACACATCTTCGAAATTTTTTTTTGTAACTGTTGTAAATAAATATTGAACGGCGAACTGTTGTAAATAAATATTGATGTCGTGTATTAATTATTGAAAATAAAACGACACGGTGCTTTGTTCGATGCGCGCGGTACTTTATACCATACCAAATAGGGCTGCCTACTTGACGGGCGTTAGGGCTTGCGCAATTAATTCATTGTGAATTCAAACGCGTTCGAATGTGATTGATTCGCGAGACAAAGAATCGATTCTTTTTTTTAAAATTAAACTTGCTGTCCTTCATAACTTGGTGCAACATTATTAAAAAAAAGATTTAATATTGATGACTAATCAATTGTTGTAACTGTGACATTTCAAATATTTTGTGTTGTGTTAATTTTCGATTTACTACCCATTACCCTTTAGTTGAATACCTACCATTAAAATTTTTAATGTTTTTCGTACTTAAAAAAAATCGAATTTTTTTAAATTATTAAATAAACCTATTTTTTTTCAGCTATTTATTATTGAAGTTATATCAATATGCTTCGATTATGCCTCTATTATTATCAGTGACGTTACGAGAATGCTGGTTAGTTTATTTAAAAAAAAATTGCCAACTGTCACGCTTCATTCGTTCCCAATTATTTCTAATGACCGATGCGATATTACGCAAAGAGGCGATACTACCGATGAATCGGCGTGCAACCTCTTTCGTGTTGAGGCCGCCATTTTAATATTAATGATTCTGCGTCGATTGTTGGCGATAAATAGAATTATTCGCGGATTACGCAACGCTAATGCGAGACACGCTAAGAAAATGTTTGCATAATTAGCCGTTACTTTTAATTGAGGCTAATTTCCGTGCGAATAAAATTGCAGATGCCGCGATAAACATAGTTCGAGCGACATTTCTGTCAGAGTTTTATTACAGAAGAGTTTATATGTGTGTATGCTAATAGGCGAAATGCGTGTGAGAAACAAACACAGCGCGCGCATACAAATCGATCGATTAGGAGATCTTATTCATTAAAATTCACGACTACTGGGAAACTAATTAATTATAAAGAAAACACTGACGTATTCTTTAATTGTACGCACTTAAATTGTTTGAAAAATCACTTGAATACAGAGAATTTTACATCTTTGTTGGGTCAAATTCAAATATCGTTATTCAATATAGACGCATACACAAAATACTACTACTTGCTACTGCTCTGAAAAAAGCTACAGAACTGAGAAGAACCAGTGAAAGAAACTCGGTGGAACAATTTTTTTACCAATATATGACAAAAAAATATTCATAATGACAATATAAGTCCACTTTGTAGAGTCTTTATCTATCAATTCAATTCCAGAGTGTCATCATTGAAATATTCACTAATATTTTTATAACCTTTAACACCTTTACAATTCTTTTGAACTTAGCAACTTCATTTTTGCTTCATTTTTTACGTTTTCTGGGATTTTGTTGTAAAAACGTATATTATCTCATAAAAGATTTTCTTACTCTACGCGGTCTGGTTGTAAAATCTAATATATTTATTTATTCAAATGACAATTCTGTTTTGAAATTCTTAGTGAGTGCGCTAATGGGTTCGTCCGCTTTTAATTAATTTGGTGATTTAAAATCCGTTAATTATGCGAATCGCATTACAGAGCGCTATTATCATCTACTTTCGCGAACATCAGCTATTGTTTGAAATTGCCTCATTAACATTAGTCATAATTATTGATTTATAAGTAGGAACTTAAGCTTTACCTTTTGTTAGTTCAGCTTAGTTACTTCTAGGCTTTAGCTTGATTTTTTTATGTGACAAAGTGGCAAACGAGCTGGCGGTTCACCACACTTCTACTCCTCACAGTGTAACACTTCTACTTAAAGCCGGTCTTCTGTGAGGTTGTGGTACTTACCCTGGCGGGCCTGCCCATTCGTGCAACTGCGGACTCAGTTGCGTGGCCCTACCACAGTCAATCTCGGCACACAGTTTATCTTTTTGTTACTTATTTGTTCTGATATTCTCTCGTAAGCCGACGGGTTTGCCTTCTTGAGAATTAGACTCACACGTCTTTTAATACCGACGAGGAGAAATGGCTCATGTCGAACTGCTTGTGGTTTTTATGATGCGTTTGTAACGTGTACAAAGTCAGACAAATAAATATTATCGCATGCTATGTTAACTTGGGCTTTAGATTACGATACTAAATATTGTTATAGCCAGGGCCGGATTCAGGGTAGGGCAACCGGGGCAACAGCTCCGGCGCCTCCACAAGCGAGGGGCCCCCACAATAGAGACTTCGGAAAAGAAAAATTGTAATTCTACTAAACAATAGTAAACATTTTCCTTTCATATTTTTTTTCGCGTTTTACTTTTACCACTTTGTACAAATATGATTACATTAAATATTAACAGAAATCAATAGAAAATAATTTGGTGCCAAGGGGCCACCACTCCTTTATTGCCCCGAGGTCTCCAGACCTCTAAATCTGGCCCTGGCTATAGCTCTCCACGAACTTATTAACACTAAGGAAAGGAAATGGTAAACGCCGGTTGGTTATCCGGTCTCGGAATTGCTGATCGATTGAGCTGAGCAAAATGTTTTTTCTCGTTGCTAAATCAGTACACGTCCGCGGGTAGTAATCACCTAACATCAAGTAAACCGCTTATTCGGTTGCCTTTTCTCATTCAAATGACACATCCATAAAGCGGGGAATGGCTTTGTGACCGACACACTGGTAACTCTAAAATTCAACTCAATCCAAATTTTTATTCGACGACCCGAATGGCGTAGTGGGTAGTGTACCTGTCTCCTGCGCCATAGGGTGTGGGTTCGATCCCCACTACTGAAAAAAATTTTGTGTGATGAACATGGTGTTTTTCTAGTGTCTGGGTGTTTCTATATGTATAATATAGAACACCCAGAGACTAGAAAAATAAATAAATAAATAAATATGTATTTATTTACAAAAGAAAAGTATGTTTAAGTATGTTTATCAGTTTTCTAGTACCCATAGTACAGGCTTTGCTTAGTTTGGGAATAGAAAATGTTGTGTACAAATGTGTCCTAAATAGAATAACCTAGAAGTTAGCAAGCGAGCTAGCAGTTACCCGATGTTAAGTGATAACCGCCGCCCATGGACATTGGAACACCCGTGTGGTTGCAGACGCGTTGTCGCCTTAATAGTGGCCCCGGTTACCTCACTCATCGGACGAAACGGTGAAGTATAACATTACCACTCCACGCCGATCTTCTGTAAGGTCGCGGTACCTTCCCGGATGATTTTTATATTGAATTAACGCCATTTGTAGAAACTTCCAGAACGTAGAACCAACGCCGTCTGACCAATATTGACCAATATATATAACAGACCGCGCCCAAATCGAAACACCCCATTAGTCAATGGACCGCGTTTGTTAAGGCGACGGGTGTTTTGCAATCTAACCCAGATACCTTTGAAGTGGCGGCTCTTTGGTTAAATTTCAACTAGACGTAGCCGGCTGCATTAAGTGAGTTCAAGTTACTTGAAATCTAACGTTCGACGCCAATTTAATCACTACATAGTATGAAACAAAGTCGTCCCGCTGTCTATCCGTCCTGTCCCTATGCATGCTTAGATCTTTAAAATTACGCAACGGATCTTGATAGTTTTTTTACTAGATAGAGTGATTCAAGAGGAAGGTTTATATGTATAATACATTGTACCAGTGCGAAGCCGGGGCGGGTCGTTAGTAATGTTATCATTTAACATCAGGTGAACCGCCAGCTCGTTTGCCACCTTCTTACATGAAGAAATGTAAGCTTATAATAAACATCTCTGAGTGAGGAAACTTTGGGTACTACTTGTCTACTTATCTACATGGTTGGCGAGGATATATAAAACAACTTAATGCATACATGTAACATGGATTGATTAATATAAGAGGAAAATGTTAAAACCGACAATCAGTTCTCGGTTACAATGGATTTAATTACAACAATCAACCTTCCAGGAATTTCGTTTTACTTTCCAAGAGAACGATAAATAAATTATTGAAACTGTTATATATACACTTCCAATAAATATGGAAATACTATATATTTCCATATGATATTGTCTGTTTCACTTTCATTTTTTGTATCACTTACCATCAGCGTACTGCATGATTGGTGAGCTGGTAAGATTTGAAAGTGTCACAGACTCCTATAACAACTTAGGGATTTTCCTCCTAAATTTAGGATGTTTTTCAAGAGGTAAATTAAAACCAAAACTCCCTAAATATTTCTCATTTCAAAAGTTTTGGTTTGACTTTAGTGAATTTTAGTGAGTTTTAGAATTGCTTTAGAGGTATTTATCGGACTGCGCCAAGGAGGGGTTTTTCAAGAGTATGTATGTATCTATAATTGTTTTGCACACTCTGCAGTCCGAACGGCTTGATGGATTTTAGCTTAAGAGGTTTCGTTAGATTCGTATTTACTGTGAGAGAGACACTGGGTATATCAAAATAAAAAATTACACAGGAAAGCAAACGGGTTTTTTAGTTTTTTAAATCATATTCTACTTTTTTTCTTTTACAGTTGGTAGCACTACCATAATCCTTGGTTGAAGTCAATGTATTCATAGATTTGGGTTGCGTCCAGCGAATGGGGTTGTGGTAGCCCACGGCACACCCCCAGTGGTTGAAAATACGCCTAATCTCTGGTGCTGTAAGAGTCCATGGGCATCTCTTCACCACCAGGTTGTGGCCGCCGGTGTTCTGAGGATCCATGGCACTCACCACCAGGGTGGTGAAGGCTGACTTAGTTGCCGTCTCTTTATTAATCACGACAGCCAATACTATACTAGCGATGGAGTGCGCGGACATTAGCAATTGTGATTAGATAGAAAATAATGTTAACTCCATTCTAGTAAATGCGCCCGATTGAGAAACGCGTAAAAGCATCGACGCGCGCAAAAAATGCATCGGCCATTAGGGTTGGCTCTGTCAAGTTGGCTTGTTTTAGTAGATACAATAGGTTTCGAAAAAAGATCGATTTGTTGATTGGAGCTTGTAGATGGACACTAAATAAGCACTGTTTATTTTTAGTTTAGATGTCAGTTACAGTAGTTTTTATATATTATACCCATTTCAAAATATTTTTCGAATTTTAGCCTTCTCTTCAATCACAGATCTAAAATACTCTTAGACGGTTTGTCAATACGTTACTTCTCGAATTTACGCTAAAACCACAACTTTTTATAAAGGCTTCGAAATGGCTTTTGCCCAGGCGTGGACTATACTGGGCCATATATCTATCAATATCAATTAATATCAGGCTATCGCCGTCCACTGGTGAACGTAAGCCTCCCCCAAAGTGTGCCAACTATCCCGGTCCTGGGCAGCCCGCATCCATCCGCTGCCAGCCTCCCTTCTTAAGTCGTCAGTCCATCGCACTGCAGGCCGTCCCACACTAAGTTTTCCTAACCGTGGTGTCCACTATTAAAACATGTAGAAAAAGTACGAAAAGATTGTCGCCGCTGTGGGAATCGAACCCACGTCTTCGGCATTCGCGGCCTGACGCTCTAGCCACTGAGCTAAACGGCTGATAGCCACAGCGACGAAAATCTTAACGCCTTCTTTCTACATTGTTATTTAGCATTTGAAGCAATGCTTGGCGCATCTATTGTTATATCCTTTCCAGCATACAAACAATTTCGAATATCGTTTTTACAACGATAATTCGAACGAGAGATGACGCCATTGCTTTTTATAAATTTTAAAGTTTTTTTTTTATAGTGCTAATCTCTGCACTTAAGATTGAACATTAAAACATGTAGAAAAAGTACGAAAAGATGGTATCCACTCTAACACTTGTCGGCACCAGCGACCATCGCATATTTATAGGCTCCTAGTTTATATCAAGTTCAAAATTACATTCAAGGCTACGTGTAGGATCGAGGTAAGGTGTCTTAAGTCGCTTGCCAAACGATAATTTCAAGCTGCCATTGCCACGTAGCAAATCCGCACGGTGTTGCACGTTATCAGTGTGCACGGCTAACATGCATCATGGTTGTAACATGAAGATATTTTTTGTGGTATAACTGGTTCTGTGGCAGCCCTGTTGCACAACCTAATGTAGGCGTATTCCGCGTTCCTCGGCCGCGCGTTTTTGCACGGTGACCGCCGTTTTCACTCTCGTAATGACGGACGACGAGGTCGTCGCAAAAACAAACCCATTGCACTTTCTGCGGGGATAGACCACCGAGATGCTGAAAGCTCACCCACTAGCCTCTTCTGTGTTCTGACGACTCGTCATTTCTTCTACGATGTTCTACAGCCTCACTAATACCAATGTTTTATTTGTTTAACATTTCATTTTTGGGATTATTAGTTAGGGACAATTTTTTATGTAAGAAAGTGGCAAACGAGCTGGCGGTTCACCTGATGTTAAGTGATATCTATCGCCTGGATGTTTGCAAAACCCATACGGTTGAAAATGCGTTGCTACCTTTAAATATAGTGGGCCCCGTCCACCTCACTCACCAGACGAAACGCAGAAGTGTAACACTTCTACTTTACGCCGGGCTTCTGTGAGGTCGTGGTACTAACCTGGACGGACCTGAGCATTCGTGCAACAGTGAACACAATTGCGTGTCGGGCCACGGTAAAAAAAAAACCATCTATGAAAACATTTCGATTGACACTGAGCAAATCAACCATTGAGTGTCGAGAAAAATTCTAAAGAAAAAAGTGTTAAAAGTTTAACGGAATGACAGTTAATTGTTAAATTCTAAAATGATATGAAACATGAATCAATATTGGCTTAACGAGTTAAGGACAGAACTGTGAATACTAATAGCTGTTAATAAAAAAGTAATGTATAGAAGTTAAGGAACCTAAAAGCATATACTACAGAACTACAGAAAACTTTCTAGCTATAATAGGAAATAACTTCAAATAATTGTATGAAATACTTTTTAAGATCGCCTTCTAAAAGCTTTCAACACGAGCTGCGTCAAGTTTCCCATACTTGTCACTGTGTGCACGTAGTCGAGTGGCTGTTAAACTTAACACTTCTCTGCCAGATGGCTCTTGCGATGGCTTGTTAAAGATAACACACACTTCCAATTAAGGGCTTGGTCTATTAACGGATGCTGCGATAAGCAACGGCCGATTGGAACTAAAATTGATAACGATTTTGTGTCTACGCGAATAAGGTGCGTTAAGGCGAAATCTGTGCTCCCGGCACGCCGAGAATAAAAAACCGGCCAAGTGCGAGTCGGACTCGCGCTCGAAGGGTTCCGTACCGTTATCTATTTAAATGGCACAAAATAATGCCCTTTGTATGGGAGCTCCACTTAAATATTTTCATATTCTGTTTTTAGTATGTTGTTATAGCGGCAATAGAAATACATAATCCGTGAAACTTTAACTGTCTAACTATCACGGTTCATTAGATAGAGCCTGATGATGGACGGACAGACAGACAGCGGCGTCGTAGTAATAGGGTTCCGTTTTCCCTTTGGATAAGGAACCCTAAAAATCAATATGACAAAACAACAAATGCCAAAAGCCACCAAAATCAATGTTCATTGTACCTTAGTTAGTCCGGGCTACTGTTAACTTTTTTAACAAATTAACTTTCAGATCTACGCAGTAAGAGCTTACGGTATTTTTATTTCTTGCCATCACAGTACTGGTGTGATCAGAGTTAGACTTAATTAAAATTCAAATATCTTCATTTCATATAGAAGAATAACACTTACTTATTGATTGATAAAACACTACTACCGGTTCGGAAGAGAAAAGCCACTGACCGGAGAAGAACCGGCGAAAGAAACTCGTCGGGACATTTATTTTACCATTAATAATTTTCAACCGCCTTCAAAAAAAAGAGGAGGTCCTTTATCAATTCAATTATTGTAATTTTTATGTTTGTTAAGTCGGAACTCCGCCATTCACAGGTTCTACATAAACCTACATAGTGTTTTTTGAATCGTGTTAAGCTCTTATGTGGTGGATATATTGTCCCACACTCGTCCTTGATTTTAAATTTCGGTGTTGAAATGTTCTGCATTCACCATTAAGTACCTGCATACGTATAAAGTATAATTCCGTCTGTTCTGGATGTTTTTAGTTTGTTAGACTAAAATAAATAAATAAATAAATATTCTTTTCACTGGTATTTAATCTTAGATCCGAGATACGCGGAACTTCTTAAAAGAAAGTCAGTGATGCATTGAGGTAGGTTTTATTATTTGTTAATAAAAATAATGTAATTTTTTTTACAATTTATCTCATTAAGGCGTGGGGGCTTTCAGCACACTTATTACGATCACAGTATTGGTTAGACCTAATTTCATGAATTACCAGCGTATTATACATATAAACCTTCCTTTTGAATCACTCTATCTACTCGTAGTAAAAAAACCGCATCAAGATACGTTGCGTAGTTTTAAAGATCTAAGCATACATAGGGACAGACAGCGGGACGACTGTGTTTTATACTATGTAGAGATAGAATCCCATAGTAATGGCGTAAATATTTTTGATATCATTAGCCTCGCAAAACATAAAAGTCTGTCAATCAAATGAAATGAAATCAAAATGAAATGATTTTGTTAATTCACTTCATCATCAACTGGTTGACATAAATTCGAACGTCATTCGTTTTCCGCACACACGCTATCAAATGTTGTACACGTGGCGTGTGTCTGTTCCCTATAATAATAATAATTTGTGCATAAACATTCCCCATGTGGTCCTATTTGAAATCGACCACTTGACAAAATGATGATGATCGAACAAACTGTTCGATAACATTATCCTGTGTTGTAACGTTTTATTTTACACACATAAATTTGACGTGGCCAAACACCCAGATACGACACGCAGCAGCCTCGGCTGTTGCACGAATGGGCAGGCTCGTTCGGGTAAGTACCACGACCTCACAGAAGACCAGCGTAAAGTGGAAGTATGACAAATACTTACGAGTTTCGTCCGGTGAGTGAGGTAGCCGGAGCCCAATTTTCAACAACCTTTTATCAACGCATCTGTAAACCTCGAGTGTAGCAGATGTCCATGGGCGGCGGTATTCAATTACCATCTGGTGAACCGTCTGCTCGTTTGGCAACTTTTCACATAAAAAAACAAGTTCATTTAATCCAAATTGTGGATAGATAGTAATTTTGTCGACATATCAATATCCCGGACGCAAAAAGGCGTTGTAAAGTTTTTAATTAAATAAATATGGAACTATTATATATGAAACGATTATTCGGATTTTATCGCGTTTTATTTGAATTATCGCGGGCTACCGTCAATTGTATCTGAGCTTATGAAATCTTAAGTTCATTGTTGGTATGCTTGGATTTATTTTCTCATCCTAAGCTGATTATAAACTCCAACCATCTTCTCTATGGAGAGCCTTACCTTGTAGATCGTCCTGAGGAGGAATCGGTTTGTCGCATCTAGTGTAGTAGTGTGGTTGGGACGGTCTAAAACATGACTAAAAACTACCACTTCCTTCCGCCGTCGGTGTTTTTTTTTTATGTGACAAAGCTGCAAACGAACTGGCGGTTCACCTGATGTTAAGCGATAAACCGCTGCCCATGGACATTTGCAACACCCGTAGGGTTGCAGTAGCGTTGCCACCTTTAAATAAAGTGGCTACCTCACTCACCAGACGAAACGCAGAAGTTTAACACTTCTACTTTACGCCGGTCTTCTGTGAGGTCGTGGTAATTACCTGGACGGACCTGCCCATTCGTGCAACAGTGAATACCATTACGTGGTCCTACCACTGATAAACCTACCACGATACTTCATGTCACTATGTGTTCCTTTATTCTGGTCTTCTTTATTAGCTTCACCTGTTACGTATA